AAAAAAAAAAAAAAAAAGTTTGGTAGAATTCCTCTGGAAATCATCTGAACTCGATAGTTTTTGAAGCATTATATTTATTTGATCAAACTTAATCTTGTTAGAATCATCTTCTCTGAACCAAGTAAATTTTTTTTTTCTAGAAAATTATCAATTTTAGACAGATTTAAAAATTTACTTTCATGGGGTTGAACAGGTAGTCTGTTACTATTCTTTAATTTCACCTTTCTATGGTTAATTTTTGCATTTCCTTTTGTATTAATATTTTGCGTACTCACATTATGTCCCATTTTTTATTAGGTTAGATAGTGACTCATTTATTTTATTGTTTACTTTTTACTTGGGAATTAATTTATTTTTTCCACTGTTTGCTTTGTTCTAACTTATTGAAATCTACTTTTATCTTTATCTTGTTTCGGTCTGTTTGTTTTGTCTTGTGATTCTTATTCTAATTTTCCTCTGAGTATAATTTTATCTTTCATGGTTTCTGAGATGTAGTATTTCACTATTGCTAGTCTTTAGAAATTTTTCAAGTTTTCTCTGTAATCCTTTTGATCCAACAGTTGTTCAAAAGATTTTTTTTTAATTCCTAAACTTAAGTGTCTTTTAGCTTTCTGAAAATTTCTTTATTGTACTATGATAAAAGAATTTCAACTACATTATTTTTACTCTTTGAAATTTATTGAGCTTTTCTGTGGTCAAATATATCATCTATTCTTATGAACTTTCACAGGCATTTGAAGAGAAGATACATTATTTTATCAGGATAAAATATACAAATTAATCAATTTTGACTTATTAACTATTTTATTTTTCTATGAATCTACTTAGTTTTTTCCATTTGGTTTTTCATAACTCAAGATATGTGAATTAGAATATCCTACAACTAGTGTGCTTTTGTGTGTTTCTTCTTGTGTGTTCTATAATTTCTGCTTTATATATGTTGCTGTCATATTATTTGATATGTAGTCATAACTGCTCCTATCTTTATTGAAAATTATACTAATTATAAAGACCTATCTGTTATTTAATTCAATGCTTTTTAGCCTAAATTGCTCCTTTTTTTTCATCAAGATTGTGACCTCTGATTGATTTTTCTCTGCTTTGCCTAATATACCCATGGCTATATTTTAATTTTCAACCTTTTATGATCACTTTGTTTTAGGTGTGTTTTCACATAGAGTTATGATTTGCTTTTTATTCCAATTTGAAAAAGAATTTCCTTAATAGATGAGTTAAGCCTATTTATACTCATTAATATAATAGATTCATTTTCTCTTAGGTCTGTCTTAATATTTTATATTACTGTTTTTATAATTTTTAAAGAAAGTCTTTTGCTAAGTAATTTGCTTTTATTTTCATGTATTTGTGATACCTAAGAAAGTCGTTACTTTTGTTTTAGCAGTTGCCTTTATTTAATAGCCTTAGACTTTTTATTTCTTTTGGCAATACTTGTTTCAAAAGTGAATAAAAGTAAAAGGTGAAATTAGTGTGCATAGTTTTTCTCACCCTACTACATCTACCATCCAATTATATTCAATGTCGCAGTTTTTCTTGGTGTTTCTCTAACACAGATATAGTTAGATTTTTTTACTGCTTGACTTTTTAGATTTCAGTTATATCCTTCATGCCCAGATGTTAGAGATGAGGTAATTAGAGAAAGCCTTCTAACTCATCATTTTTTAATCTTTTCCTTCCCAGATCAGAGACAAGTGAAAGTCTAAAATATTTTTCTAATTAAAAACATGAGGTCATACAACATAGCAAAATGTATGCTATTTTAAAGCTTTCAACTGAATGTTTCAGAAACAACTTAACACCAATATTTGTTTTTAAATAGCTGTATTCTTATACTGCTTGGCCTTTGCATCATTAAAATTTTAATTGAAAAATCTGAGTACCATACTTCAACCCATGGATAATTGATCTGGGCTCTGCCAGAGCAAGTAGCTAGGCCATTAACCAGTAAGACCCTGCCATGTAGACAACATGGCCTCAAGTTCTCTTTTAAATTAACATCTCAAATGGGAGGTAGTGATATGAGGTAATGATTGAAAGCTTTTGTTTGCAATCATTTGTAATTATTAATGGTTCCTAACCATGCTCATTAACTCATTCTCTTAACCCTGACAATTGCTGTCTTTGATCATGTTCTACTCCATTACCTATGTTATTATTTCTGTACCTTGACAAATATCTATCTTCTGTGTGTCAACGCTATGTAGTAGTTGTGGGTAGATAGATAATTTTATCTTTTTTTTTTGTGGAGGTATTATTTGGTATGTGGGCTATATTCATTTTTGGAGAATATATAGGATCATGTCATTAGAGAGTTAAAGAATATACACTTCAAATAAATCCAGCAACTTTTTCGTTAGTGCTTTGCTGAGTCTGATATCCACTGTATTTAGTATAATAATTTGTAGATTTTTTAATTCCAAGTGATAACTTTAAGATAATTTTAGTGGTTGGGGGACCTTGAATTTCTTGTGCCAGGACAGTTACACATGAAGTAATGAGTATGGGAGGAATAGCATGATTTTGATAATGATGAGAGAGAAAAAAACAAAATCAAAAATTATTTTTTACAAATGCCAAGCCACATTGATAGAGAGTATCAAGGTATTCTCCATAGCTGTTCTTTCTGTCATTAATTATTTATTCAGTAATTATTTATTGAACAACTATAGTAGGCCAGACACTGTGCATGGCCCCGGGGATACCATGGTGAGCCATATGGACATGTATTATCCCCTAATGGATTTTTAGTCTACAAACACACAAGCGAGAATTATCATTGCAGTAAGGGTTTTGAAGAAATAACATTCTAGAAGTGTATAGCAAAGATAATTGTGCTGCAATTGGAAGGATTCTTGAAAGAACGGAGAAGCCAAAATAGAAGTCAAGTAATCTAGGCATAGAGAATGGAAATCAAGATGAGAAAGGGCCTGATGACAGAAAGGAAATTAGTGGTACTATATTCTGCTGGGATGCCATGATGAGGGTTTTGGTGTTTATTCAAAGGGCAAGACCAGCTACATTAATTGGTGAGGCCCAGTGCAAAATAAAAATGTGGGGATGCTTTTTAAAAACATATTAAGAATTTCAAGACAGTGGCAGCAAAGCGTTAAATCAATGGCAAGAAGCACCCTGTCTTGTGTGACTGTGCAGATCAGAAGTGGATACAGTTGGCCCTGCCTATGGGCAATCAGAAGCCAAAGAGAAGGTTTAGGTAGAGAATACAGATGATTGAATTGGCATTTGAAAAACATAAATTCCTCAGATTCCTCAATTGCTCTCCCAAGGCATGTATAGTTAGTGAGTAAAGGCAAAGAGTATTAGTATTTCCCAGATTGAGAGTTAAATATTGCTATTAGTTTTCTAGTCATGTGCCTAGATACACAGGCATCTGGAATCCAGCCTTTTAATTAACTTGCAGAGGCAGTAAAATGGTGAAATCTGAGTTTTTTGCTTAATATTTTCCTAGGTTAACCAATATTTTAATACACTTGAATGATTTCACCCTGTAATCATTTAACAACATACACTTCAACTGACAGACAGGAATAGTGCTTAAAAATTGTGCTTCTGACTCAGAACCAGCTAAAGTTCTGTGACAAAGGAATTAAGAATTCAGAAACATGAAAAAGAAAATAATATAAGTAGCACAAGAAGGAATAACTTCCTCCTAATCCTTGCTTGTTGTAATAATTTGCATATTGTGCTAGGAAAGATGTGTTTTGTTATTTTAAGATAATAGATTATATTTAATATGTACCCTATAATCTAAATGTATTGAGAATCATATCTTTTGTCACTCATCACTGCTGAAACAAATCTTGAATATTCTATGATGTAAGTAATAAAGAAAACAAAAAAATTCTCAACTTCTCAACTATTTTAGTTTTTGCAACAATAGTCCTAAATTCTAATGTGTGCAAACTATTTCAAAACACCTTTCAAAGAAATAATATTAGAATAAAAATAAAAAGATTTGACAGTGGTCTGCAATTTAATTTCTTGAAACACAGAGAAACAATTTTCCTGAGAGACTTTAATGACAGAATGGAGGTCAACCTTTCATCAAAGTCCCACACCTCTAGAATTCTACATCCTCATGTTTTATTTTTCCAATGTCTGGATTATTCAAGTTTATACTATGGAAATGGTTAGAAAAGAGTATTAAAGCCTTACTCTTAAAAATAAATTTTAATTCAAAAAGTGAAAAAAAATTAGTTGTGATTTCTTTTTGTCCAATCATATTGAAAATCACTGCACATAGTATAATGACAGATTTACTTGCCTAGGTACACAAGTGATGATTCTTCAATTGTTTGTTGCACAGCCTCAGAGAGGAAAAAGCTAAGTACACAATCACTCTGAAAAACAAAACAAAACATAGTATTTCTTCATTTCTTATATTTGTCACGCCTATTCATTATTACATAAAATTGCCATATATATAATTTAAAAATAGATACCTATTATAGATTCTACAAATAGAAAGTATATTAGCAAGGTTTATTAAGTCAATGCTATAATTTTACCATTAAGTTAAACTAAACTTTTGTGTGATTAGAGGTCAGATTACTTTCTGTTTCTTCAAGAGGCTCAGGTGTGCTCTGCTCTTGGAGCTCATCGTAAATGTCACGTTCTTGAATTTTACAAATATGCATGTATTTCACATCTCAATCTTCTAAAACAAGGTGTATCCTTGGATGCTCTTTCTGAGAAAAATTACTCTGAGTGGGACACAGATGCTCACTTAGTGAGTAACCATTGCTACTCAAATTTCAATTCTAGGAATACTCACTGAGTACTGCCTACACTCACAGCACTGATAATTGTCAGGGGATATTCTGAGACAGAAAGATGCATATGGTGTTCTCTCTCTATAGACCACGGTTAAGTGGAGAAAACATTATATTTCTCTAATAAAAATTCCAGTTATATTTAATTTTACTATGTACAGAGAAGCATGTTTCTCTTTTAAATAGGGATAATCAGAAACAAATTGACATTTAACCTGATCGCCAAATCAATGGCTAACTGGTAAGTCTGAGAACAGCTTTTCTTTAGTAAAACTGACATACATTTTATTGTAAGCTACTATATGACCAAAGTAGCCCTCTCCATGAGACCTTACATTATTACCTAAAGGGCACCAAAGAATAATTATTTCCTTGGACTACCTTTCATAGGCTAATACCACAGTAGCTGTCAAAGCTGCCTGACAGTCTCCCTGTTCTTTTCTCTCACTCTGTCCAATGGCTCTTTCTACTCTTCCCCAGGAGACTTTAACGTCCAACTCTGACTCCTTCTCTGGCAATGACTATCGCTGCTTCAAAGAAAATAAAAGACAGATGAAAATTCCTAAACTTCCTGCCATATAATCTACAGACACACAGCTTTCCTTCCTCTTACAATGGAAAAACATGTGTCTTTCCATCTGTTTTAGTTGAATTGTGTCCCCCTCCCAAATTCATATCTTAAAGTTCTAATCCCCAGTACTCTAAGACATGATCTTATTTGGAAATAAGGTGATTGCTGATATAATTAGTTAAGATTGTATAATACTGGAGTAGAATGGACTCTTAATCTAATTGACTGGTGTCTTTATAAAAAGAGTAAATTTGGACACACTCATAGAAGGAAGATAGGTAAAGGGACATAGGAAGAAGATGACCATCTACAACCAAGGAGAGAGACCTGGAATAGATTCTTTCCTCATAGCCGTCAGAAGGAACCAACCCTGCAGACATCCTTATTTCAGACTTTCAGCTTCCAGAGCTGTGAAACAATACTATTCTATCGTTTAGGCCACCTCGTTTATAGTATTTCGTTATGGCAGCCCTGGAAAATCATCTAATGCTGAGCCCTTCATCTGTTTCCTGGATTCTATTAATCCTCCTCAAGAACCTTGTAGAAGATTCCCATTTATATTTTAGCCACTTCACCCTCTTTCTTTTTTCCTCATCAACATAAAATATGGTAAATTCTCTCCATTTTAAAAACTAACAAACAAGTGAGTCAAACCACCCAAAGTATACTCACACATAAATCAAATTTTGTCATTAATGCCCCTTGCAAATTGTGTGTTATTTTTCTCTTCCCTGATGCAAACAAACCTATGGGAGGAATTGTCTGCACTCACACTGGTTCCACTTCTTCAATTTCTACTCACTTTATGATAAACTATATTCAGGTTTCTGCCACTGAATGTCCTCTGAAAAATGCTCTAATTTTCTTCTTTAACAACCCTTCTCTGAAAAAAATACATATATATATACGTATTTCAAAACCAGTGGGAATTTCCTTTGTCATGATATAGCTATTTCATTTTTAGTGAATTCTGTCTTGTCTTTGCTTTTGTATTACATGTTCTCCCAAGTGACTGCCTTTCCTTGTCTTGCCATCACTTTTGAGACTTTTTGCAGACTCTTTTTCCTTTTGTTTATGATTTAAGTTTAAGTGTTTCTCACATCTAGGCCCATCTCTCTCATTACTCTAATGTATCCTTTCTGGGTGATATTATGATATTTGGTAACATGTATAATAATGCATGAGTCTAAATCTTTATTCCAGATTTGTTTCCTAAACCTAAGCCCTCTATCTCAAAATATCTTTTTATTGGCTCACTTGACTCTTCTAAGGACAAATTAAACCACAGAGGTGCACCACTAGATATTTCCTTTCCTCCATCTCAATTTGCTTCTTCTCCTGTGTCCAGGCTCAAAACAGAGTTTACCTACTTGGACTCTCTGTTCTCCTCACCCCAAACATAAAATTAATTGCTAAATCCTGTGTATTGTACTTGCTAAATATCTCACCTATTCATCTTCTCCATCCAGATATACTAACACCATCTAGTTCCAGCATCATCAGTTCTCATCTGTGTTATAGCAGGGGTCCTTAGTGTTTATCTTCCTACCCTTTAATCTAATCCATTCTCTACACAATTGCCCAGCAGATCTTTCAAAATGAAAATCTAATAATTAACTGCTTAAAACCTGTAGTGATTCTGCATTACTCTTAAGAAACAGATCAACTGTTGAACAAAGCTTGTAAGACTGGTCTTGACTGGGGTCTTGCTCATTTCCCTATGTTCTTCTCTCATCATTTCTCATCTGGTGCTTAATGCTTACCTATGCTGAATTATGTTTACTTTTTCAAATGTGTCATGCTCTCTCACCTCCTTGTCTTCCTACATTCTCCTTTTTCTTTCTTTTCTACCCGTATCCACCCATTTGCCCAGGGTTTGCCACATTCTCTTTTCTCTACTCTTGTTAATCTTGTCAGTAAAATACAAGCGCAGAGATTGTGACTTTTTCACTTATGCTTAACACAGTGTTTCTCTTCAATAAATACTACTTAGCAGAAACAAACTGATGTCTGTCTTCAAATGTAGAATACATCAGCTTGAAATGCAGATATACTTATCTGCCTAGCAGTTTATGCATCATTGTAAATTAGTCACCAGTTTTCATCTATGCATCATTGTAAATTAGTGAGTTGCCAATTTTCATCTCTGTGAATTGATCTCTTGTGAACTTGTTTATAGAAGTCTACTATTAAGAAATAGACTTATTCGAGGTGGGTGGATCATGAGGTCAAGAGATCGAGACCATCCTGGTCAACACGGTGAAACCCCGTCTCTATTAAAAATACAAAAAATTAGCTGGGCATGGTGG